AATATATTTCGTTTAAAAAATTAAAAAATTTCAGGATTATAATATGTTATTACATTACAGGAAAAGCTCTGTTTCCTGGTTACTTCGCTCGCACGGCCCATTTAATTCATGGTACGACTATGCTCATTTAAAGTAGGGAAAAGATGAATATCGAAAAGTTTTTATTTACTGTTTAATTTAAAAGACAGATATAGTATTCGAGAGTGGTGCAAGGTATAGTAATAACAAGATGGTGCTTTATGAAACAGCCTGTAAAAGTATAACGATTTATAAAAATGACCTTGTTAAGAATATTACCTCGAAGTCCAATTTAAATTCCTGTCCTGTCAGTTTATATAACAGACCACGCACTACGCCATCCTGAAAAACACATCAATGTACATAACAAAATTATGACTGATAGGGATCACATTAAAACAATTTTTTTTCATTCAAAAAAAAAAAAAATAAACCTTAAGTCATTGTTCTCTATTCTACATCATGTTTTACTCACCGAACAACGGGTCACAACGAAACAGTTGACCTCCTCCAAAATATCATGTTCTGGTAATTTGAGAGCTACTGCGGAAACTTTTGTGGTTTCTGGCGTGGTAATAAGCTATAACATAGTTAAATCTTATTAAATCTTATTAAATCAAATTAAAGGTTAAACTTCATAGATGTATTTCGAAATTATCAACGGGTAAGAAATGATTTTTATGTAAAAAATATATGACTTCAATATGATCGTGGCACGTGCTGTACATAGTTTTTAATTTTTATATTACGAATACATAGGGGATTTTTAAACTATTTATAACACAATAACGATTTTTGTTTACATTTGATAATGTACATTAAGTAAAATATATTGGTATTTTCCGATTCCGATTTTATTCGTGTAGTTTATAATTGGGCAATCAAATTTGTCTGATGTTCTTAATTTATTTATAAGTTAGCTACCTGGTTCGAAATAAAAATTGATTATTTCTAAAATGTAGTCAAGTTCCGGACACCAATAAATAATGTGCAGATAGTAAAAATATTATGTGTAACGGTGTTACTAAAAGTTTTTTAAAAAAAATAACGTAAACGGAAAAGTTTTTAAACAAAATAACGTTGAAATAAATTTTTCTTTACAAATTTAAGCTATACCCAATAAATAGCTATCGAGTATAAGGGATGTAATGTTTCATGTGTTTATCAGTACTCATTATTGTATAATTTTAAAGAAGTAAGAAGGTCTCTCTTTCTATTATAATAATGTATTATTTGTGTGTAGATTGTTATTGATTTTTTTTTCAAAGAATGCCTCAATCTCATAATCCAAAACACAAGGAGGAAATTCGACCGATCTATGCAACTGAATCCGTGACTGCCGCTAATTGGAGTTTTTTTTTTTTTTTTTCTTTTTAAATTAAGATTTAAATATTAAAATCAAAGAGAATTGTAAAATTGACTTACAACCAGACGTTATTGGCGCCAGTCCAATGTGGTTTGGCAGATTAGCAGCGATAGTGATGAATGGCGGCGACAAATGTCCTACGAGGTGGCGCTGCTTTGGCTCCTATCTCTGTTGAGATTTAGTGGGCCACGGAGGACAATTGTCTCCCCAACCAGCGGTCAACGACGCACGGGCGTAAAATCGTGTATAGCGGATACAAATCGGACGCAATAGGATGATACTGCGGAAACGCGTGACGGATCGAAACGTAGCGGATATAAACGAACTTGATTAAGCTCCCGTTAACTGGGGCTTGGACGACGGAGCCGCAACATGTGCACGGCACAATAAGTGGCTCGTTGGCCTAAACACGAGTGGTGTCGACGTGAAACACGGGGATTATATGAGATGCGGGCGTTCGCGCTGAAACTTAAATCGACAAACGACCGGACAACATCAATGGACAACAACGGAAACTAAAACGCGTCTTTGGCACCGAACACAACAAAGGACGCAGGCGAAAGGCCACGAGTGTGAGGCAAAGGTCGCACACACATGAAGGTCGACTAAGCGAGCGGTACCGGTTTGCGTGACGACAAAGCTAAGTGTGAGGCAGGGATGCGGGACGGCCGGTTCAATAACGCTAGTGGGTACCGGTGATAACGGTGCTTGAACAAATAATCTCCCCTCCACCAATAGAATTATGGAAACAACGTATAAATTAAAATCGACTTGTTCATATCACCAAACTTTAACTCTTTCGAAATGTATAGTTACTAGTTAATATAAAGGTATTAGTATTATATTGATTGTTATTGTTTGTTTTTTTTGTTATTTTTTCTTATTAATATCATTTTTATCGAACGATATTTATTAAAATACATGTAATTGGGCTTGAAATAAATGGCTCATTTAAACTTAAACTAATTAAATAAATATGTACTTCCTAACACTTACTTCCGATAACAGTAAATCATCAAGTCCGTCTGGAACTGGTCCCAACAAAAACATACCAACGATTGTACGGTTTTTAAATACCACATTAGAATAAAAAATTCCTTCGGAATTCGTATGATTAATTGCATCCAAAAATACTTTTACGGGTGTACTGGATCTAATATCAAAGTGCCTAAGACAAAATAAATTGGATAAGTACGAAAATTAATATGAAAGCCAATACCGTAAATAACCTGAATGTAAATTATTTTAAAAAATATGATTCTTAAAGCTGGCATACTCATTATGTATTTTTACTTCACTGCATGTGTAGTCTACATATTCTTGTGAATACGCCAGAAGGTAAAATATAAAAATTGTATTATTATTTTTATTAAAGACCTACTATATTTATTGTTTTAAGAATACCGATAAATATTCACAGTCCCGATTATGAGAAATTGGTTGTTACAGGTTAAATAGGATGAAGTAAACAACATTTTGTAAATGATATTGTCAGAAAGAATTTCTGCATCTTTTAAAGTAAGTTCTCATGTATACTCCGTAAAAAATTGTGGAATTTTTACTAACCGCAAAGATGAAGACAAATTTTTCATAAAGCAATAATATTTACTTACAGCGACATATAACTATTATTGAACCGAATAAAATACAATAATCAGCATTGTAGTACTATTATTTTAAATAAAATATTTACATTTTGATGCAAGTCCTAGAAGTTAATATCCAGTTTGATTTGATTAACACACCTTGGCACCATTTTTCTTGTTCATCAATCGACACCGCTATTACTACCTGTTAAAAAATGTATTTGTAACTCATTCACATTATTATTATTCTCATACTCATGAGAGAATGAACTTACGTGGTAAGGAAAAGAGTGTGTATCAGATGCACGTTTTATAAATTCTTCTTCGGTAGTTATTGAGATTACATTCTCCCCCAACGATGATATTGGTATTGTAATATAGCTAAGTACACATAATAATAAGAATAACGATAATGCTATTAGTCATTATACTTTTATTCACAGTCTATATTAAGTTAATGTTATAAGATATATAATTCTTAATCCACTTATAATCAGTTGACAAAAATAATATTATTTGGAGTTTAACAGTGGTTAGAGACCTAATATTTTAAAAAAATAAGTTACGTTCAGTCTTCGATTATAATTGTAAGGCAATATAAAAACACGCTTTTTTAAGTGTTATAGAGCACGATTTTGTTTTAACTAAATTGTGCGTTTTTAAATAATTATATAAATGTAATTTTCTGTTTACGAATAAATACCAATAGTTTTATTATATTTCACTTTTCCGATTAGGTAAAAGATTCCTTTAAATAAAATATTTACAATATTTGTAAGTTATAGATATTACATTTTTTATTTTATTGATGTTATTGTACTATATAATTAAATTGTATCGGAATTTAATTATTTTCATTATTGTTCATTGTATTGCAATTGAATCATTTTATCCATCTCATAAAATGTAAAATTTTTAAAAAAATAGCTGATATTGGGTATAGGAATTGCCATAGTTGAAGGTCAGAAGTTGACAAGGTAGGATACAGAAAGTTTTTTTATTTTTTTGAAGTAAAAAAGCTGTCCCTAGATATTAATATTAGTAAAATCAATACATCAATTGCCATGATCGGAATATAAAATGAAATAAATGGCATTGTAAAATGAATATCTCCCTTGCTATGAACAGAGTTTAACATTTCATTTCTAGTTCTTATGTTGTAATATATGCATATTATTAAATTACATATTCTATAAACATACTGTTCTTCGTCTGATTTATTGTCTGATTCATCGTTTGATTTATCGTCGTCAATGTTAGACAAAATCACATAACTTGTTCTTTCACCTTCGGCATTAAATTTATAATTTTGTGTCCCAAACAATATACTGTTAAACTTAATATTGATTGTATAGAATGTCACACCCCGCTTGAATGAACAACTTACTAATTGTTAAAAAATATAAATAGTTATGTTAAATAGCCTTATATATATATATATATATATAGTGAAAATACAAAAATTACCAGTAGGAAAATGATTTTACAATATATTGAATTGAAACACGATATGTATAAAGGAAAAGTAAAAAAAAAATGTCAAGTACTGATTTTGGAATTTAACAAACCAATAATATTGCCGTTTAAATTATCGAATAAGTTGCAATAAACGTAACAAAGTGTCATCTCGGATACCAAGGAATGGTTAGGTATATTGAAAGAGAACCATATCGTAAGGAAAATTAACCTAAGCAAAGTACGGTAATACGAGTTTTCAAATACATAATTTTACGTTTTTCGCAAACATTTTATTTTAAAACGCTTAAAAACATACAAACATAATATTATTTATTCAAAATAACTAGCACTTTACAAAAAAACAAAAAAAAAAAAAAAAAAATCGATAAATGTCAAATACCTATGTATAACTCAGAAATCATTATAATGTTCAAAATTTTTTACCGTGTATAGAAAAGGTCAAAATCTGTATTCTGTGAGAACCGATTAGGTTATTGATTTCTTTAAAGTTAGCCGTTTTTCTTCATTTTTCTTGGTTTTAGCCAAATAATTATAAAAATTACACAGAATATTAAACACTATCATGTGCAAATTATACACTTGTTTTTTGGTACAAGATTTCTTGTAGAATAGTTATTCATTGACAAAAACCAATCATAGTAATACCAATTTAAATTCCTCGATTTTCTTAGAATTTGAAATAAAATGACCACATAACGCTTACCAATTGGGTTCTGACTATTGCAAGGAATTTTTTAGTTTTGTTTGATATCCGTTTGATTGTTTGCCTATCAATTATTTATCGAAATTTTACCGAAAGTTGGACGTTATATTGTGATTATAATCATATTACCATATTATGTTTATCACCCGTAAAATGCCGGGTGCCGTGCCACTAAACAAATAATGCTCCACTACTCCCACCTTACTTAAATTTAAAACTAAAACTTCTTTAAGATGCCTGGAATAGCGGTTTTTTGTATTGAAAAATTATGCATATGTAATAGGTATATAATATCTTTGATCAATTTAATATGTACAATATTGTATGTAATTTAAACAAAAATAACGCGATTAGGTAAGAGGAATCAATGTACTCCAGTGTAGATGATTTTTCGATATTTATGTTAATTAATGAAATATGAGTATGTTGAATATTATAAATCTAAAATATTTATCAATTCTTACATAAAAATTCAATTTTGAATGAACATAACGGTGGCCATTTAATAATCTTCTTACCTTTAATTTGTGTAATAGGTCAATTTTCTTTAATGTACTCGCTTGAATGATATTATCGAAGTTAGTATATATGTGTATATATATATATAAATAGATATTGATTATGAATTGAAGATTACAAAGGANGAAAATTAATATAGAAACAGTGTATAGAAATAATTATTTAGCTTTTAAAGGTTTTCATACTTAATTGGGGGGAGAGGGATTCACCTAATAAATTAAATTTTCTCGGGCACGATCCGAACTAAATATCTGTACACACCTATGGATACATGATTGCATTATCAAATCGCCGCTCACCTTACCACCAAATAAATTACTTCCACTACTTTCATCTAATCTAATATTAAAAGTGAGATATCTCGTCAACAAACCTATGGAAATCAACAATGTCGGTAGAAAAATTTACTTTGGCTAATACTCCATCTATTTATCGAATTTTTACTATAGGAAGCTAATTGAAAATCCAACCATTACAGTTTTCTCCCAAAAATAAGGGTGAAATAAATAAGTACACAATTTTAAAGTATCTTGTATCTAAATGGATCACCTAAAATTCTAATAAAAACGATAATTATATCAAAAAGTATTTTAATGAGGTTTTGTAGGGTATTAAAAATAAGTAACAATAGATTATAAATAAAATAAACTATATTATATTGCAACCTACTGGTTGTCTAATGGCTAATGGATATAATTATGTGTCATTTGTTTTTAGGTATAGTTTATACTTTATTATAAATTGATTTAACTTCGAACTGACTTCATTCCGATTCCGGTGGTGGTTCCAGAAATCGACACCCCCGCATGTTTTCGCCGCGCGCGAGTCGATACTTCGATATTTTTGCCATCGGCTCTTAACACAGCAGTACCAGTCCGTGTTACAATTAACTATCTTATTCCGTGGTAAACACAGAGTCAGTGTACCGTAACNATATTATATTGCAACCTACTGGTTGTCTAATGGCTACTGGATGTAATTATGTGTCAATTGTTTTTAGGTATAGTTTATACTTTATTATAGATTGATTTAACTTCGAACTGACTTCATTCCGATTCCAGCGGTGGTTCCAGAAATCGAAATCCCCGCATGTTTTTCCCACGCGCGAGTCGATATTTCGATATTTATGCCATCGGCTCTTAACACAGCAGTACCAGTCCGTGTTACATTTAACTATCTTATTCCGTGGTAAACACAGAGTCAGTGTACCGTAACCTTCATTATTTCCATTTTAATTTTATGTTTGANGCGGTGGTCCAGAAATCGAAATCCCCGCATGTTTTTCCCACGCGCGAGTCGATATTTCGATATTTATGCCATCGGCTCCTAAAACATCGGTACTAGTCCGTGTTACATTTAGTTATCTTATTCCGTGGTAAACACAGAGTCAGTGTACCGTAACCTTCATTATTTCAATTTTAATTTTATGTTTGACCATTGATTGTAAACAGTTTGCATAATATATTTAATTAAATACCATGTTTGTTCAATTAGTACACGGTTTTCCCTGTCATAATCATTTGTGTTCTTATTGAATATTTATCGGTAAAATATACAACTAACTTTATAAAATTGATAGTTATAAAGACTAATCATAATTTTAATGTACTAAATAAAATATTACCATTCACGTTCGGTATTTGCTGTGTAATAAATTGTTAAATTGTTNAAAATATTTAAATAAATACCATGAATGTTCAATTAGTACGCGGTTTTCCCTGTCATAATCAAGTGTGTTCTTATTAAATATTTATCGGTAAAATATACAATAAACATTATAAAATTGATTGTTATAAAGACTAATAATAATTTGAATGTACTAACTAAAATATTACCATTCACGTTGGGTATTTCCTGTGTAATTAATTGTTAAATTGTTAAATTATTTACAATATTATTCATTGTATAACTAAAGAAATGCGTTTACTTCTTTCAGATTGGTAATACGATTATTCAATACTCCCCAGGTTGGAGTTACGTTTGTGGCTATGTCTGAGACGAAGGCATCGGCTATTTCTTTAGCTATGTCAGGTAAACGCTGCAATATTGATTTTGCATTCTCAAAAAAATGTTCTGGTATATTTGTTTTATTATCTTCTAAGTCTGTTTCCTGTGCGCTGTATAATGCAGATAGTAGCTCATGTTCTGAAGAAAAATAGGGTGGTAATATTTCAATGTCTTGAAGATATGTATCTGGAATGATTGAATCAAAAACATTCAAATTCCATTATAAAAGTCCATAAACAAAAAAAACACCACTTCTAACCAGGCTGACAAGATATAGTTATTTGTAATACTCCATAATCATTTAATTTTAAAATAATCGATTTATCATTATTATCGATGAATAAACATGGTATCAAAATCATAATTTAGTTTCTACTAACGGAGAAGGGAGGGCAAATTCCTTTCTAGTGAGAAATGTGGATATTTCGTTAGAATAATATTGCAATGATGAAATTTAATAAAAGTGAATATCTGTCGGTCTGTATGTTCATTATAGATCACTTTAAAATCACTGAACCGATTTTACAGGAATTTTTCCAAAATTGGTTCCGCATTGTACCGATAAGGTTTATAGTTATTGAAATTCCTGAAATTCGACTCATAAAGGAAAGCTGACAGGGATGTTGGTATTTAGAGGTATGATTTTTGTTGATAATGTCATCTTAGTAAAAAGTTTATATTATTATTATTTTATTGATTATGTCATATATATTGTATCTATCTACATTCATTTACTATTTATTAATTCTATATAGAATAACTTAAATTGAAATTTTTTTCATAGATTAGCTTCGAAACAACTAAATCAATTTTCATGCAGTTTTTCTCAAATGATAGCATTGTCCGGAGTAGGATTTAAAACTATTGAAATACTTGATCTAATCAATAGACCTATTTTACCGTAGTTTAGAATGGGCTCAATTAGATTACACACGAGATAGCGCAGTCAACGCTGGACGATACAGGCAGTAAAATATAAAATATGCAAATTTATCTGCCCTAAATTCAATATTATTCATGTTCATTTTTTTCTCATTAATAGGTAAGTGCGTATTCATATTTTGAAATCTACAATGGAATTGTATTACATAATTATAATATTTTCAAAATTAGAGCTTTAACTACCAACATATAGTCACCACAAGAGGTAATTTCTGATGAGCTAATGAAAAGTCTGTACGGATAACAGATGAAATTTATCATAGTTACACTAATTTAAATGTAATATCTCGCTGGGATCAGTATCGAAATCATAAATTAAATGTTTAATAATATATTTATAATACAAAATGTTTACGAGTAATATAATTAAAATTAAAAATAAAAATGTAAGAAAATTGCATAGTTACACTTATTTTACAATTTTATTGATCTGTTTATTTTGACAACTTCAATCACATGTGGTATAATACGATGGGAGGTGTAAAAGAGAGATCTTGTACTATTTTTGGATCAAAGAATTGGGATTTGATACAGTTCGATAATCTAGAATTTAAAAATCCGGAAATTGATGATTTATTTATAGTCGGTATGTTGGATTTAATAACATTTATTTTGGATTCTACTAGATATTTTTCATATATCTCAAAAAATACCCATTACTATTTATTTTCAATTTGCAACTCAAAATTCTTAAATTCGCGAGTCCAAAACCTGGATTTTTTGGACTATCAGATTGTTCGGATTTATGTCACATCACTAAATATTCAGAATACACTGAAAATACATGTATTTTATTTAAGATTAGTTGAAATAATTTAATTAATTAACGTAAAGGTTGTTATTTGGTTATCTTTGTAAAAACCAAACATATTTGAACTAGTTAACTTTAAATTTTACAATTGTTAGTACCTCTTGAATCATTTAAAACTTAACATTATTTAAATTTCTGCACATTAATTATGGTTTGGACGCCATAGACGTTTCCACAACAATTCCTGTTATTATTATATTGAAATATCACCTTTCTATTAGATATCTGTTTAAAACTAATCATAATCTGTGTAGAATAGTTAATTAGTTAATAGTTGAACAATGAATATTATGTTCTAAATTACAAAATTAATTTTGCATTCCTACCTAAATTAAATAATTAGTCAAATTCAAAAATTATATAAATACATGCCGAATATTTATATTTCTTTTAAAGAATTTTTTCCTTAAGGTATTTTTAACATGAATGAATTCTTCGGGGAAGCTCCAAAGATATAATTAATTTTTGCGGTTATTACTCATGGGTTTAAACCTTTATAGTCAATAATTGAGAAAACCAGTTTTATTTGAGATGGCCCAAAACGGTCGATTGACCAAAAAATAAGTAACTACTTGATATTTACTACTGACAGAAGTTATTCAGTAAGGATGTCTTTCGTTATTACGTATATTGAACAGTATAGTGGTATTTAAACTACGGAAAATTGCTATCTTTTAGATTAAAAGAATCAAGTATAATATTTTCTAAACGTTGATGTTTTTGGAGACCCACGTACATGTTAATGACCAAAATCAGTGATTACTAACCAGTTACCTATATTATATCGTTTATGCAAGGTTTATTTTTATCTTTATTTTTTGAACAAGAAAATAATTATAATTCTAAAAATCAATAAATGTAACTTACATGTTATTGACATGGAATATATTAACATTAGGTACAACCAGGTGTTCATATTTGAAAGCTCAAAAAGAAGAATATATATTATATTATATTATAATTTATAACTTTAATTTTGTAAACAATAGATTACTAGTTAATATGCGATAAAGTGAGTTATGAATTGTATATACACGATCAGGAAACGAAATGAAGTATCGAATATTGAATATAATCAAATGATAGTTACGATTTATGTGTATAACTGACGATGACATCACTGAAAAATATATTACGTCAATGCAATATAGTTTACAGTAATGCCTAACAATTATCACTCATTAAATAGTACCTACTGACCTTTTTATTGTTTACTCAATTTTTTATAGGTCAAAAAAAAATTTGAAAAAAAATACATAACATAAAATAATTACACTTAAGTCACAAACTATTTGAATTTATTTGTGATTAATAATGCATTCGATCCAATCTTAGGAGTTATGACGCATACCTCGTTGGTGCCAGGAGTAAAGAAACGGAAGTTCGTAAACTTTGTTAAAAGTTTGTTTTGCTTTACGTCTGACTTCACCAATTCAAACTGTAAAGCTCTTTTAAGTTATCACTTTTTCCACCACCTTTGCAGTTGAATTTTATTTGTAAGGAAATTCTTTACAACTTATAAGCAAAAACGGTAAAACCGATCGACACTTCACTGATATAAGTAGTTGATTTATGATTAATAATTAGTAAATTATAATGTAAAATCGGTTAAAAGTAAATAAACCGATGTAAAATTCAAAAGTGATGATTGTTTATTAACCAAACTATAAAACCAAGAAATATGACAGTGATCAATTTTAGGGGTACTNAATACATTTGAAAAATGGTATAAAATGAAAAAGGTGTATAGGATCAAAAAAATGTTATCAGCACCCCCAAATAAAAAACACTTTTGGACCTATGATTAAAAATACAATGCGCAACGTTTGATCAATGTGTCTTGACGAACAATAATTATTTGGCCTTACTAGTCAAACAATATTATTTTAAATTGTACTTAGGCGTATTTGTATTTGAATTTAAGTTAATTCCATGAAAATACTTTTCTTACTTCGAGAATTGTATATGAGAACATAATATACTTTTATAAAAAACTTTTGCACGGAAATATTGACTGGCCTAATTTCTCAAATCGTTATTTTTTTTCATACTCCTAATCATAATTCTAGGGAATGATATACTTTTTTTTGAACACGGAGAATATAGTTATACAATGTCCCTTAATAGAATCATGAAAACCAATAATGATTTTAAAAAAAAAATGTATTTATGTTACCAAACTTTGAATCATTTAAAACATATTAAAAATTCCTAACTGTCAATTATAATAATTAGTTTAATTTTTGGTAAATAGTATTTCATCATTAGTACTTAATTATTGATGAGGGATTAAATTTTAAAATATTACGTAATTAGAGCTGACCAGTTTAAAACTGAATAAATAATAAAGGTTTAATATATATAACTTAAATTTTGGGATTAGGATCTTGTGATGTGTTCGTTATAAACTGAGGTGAATAAAGACAGGCAAATGCAAATTGGCAGTGTAGTGACGAATGGGACAAAATATTATCTATCATGTGAAGATTACACAAGTACAACAGACATTTTTATAGTAAAACTCTAGAAAACCATGCTGCTTAGGGGAACACATAATTTTGGGAACGATAATGACATGGTAAATTTATAATTAAAATGTCATGAATATTTATTTAATTCATTTATGAACGGTTGCACAAAAAATTATTCAATCAGTAATTAGTCATTGGTCTAAAAAAATTGGGTTATTGAATCAATAGAAATTTAATGATATTGCACAAAGCTTCAATGCCTTAATAGGTCGATAAAATAACGGTCAAAAATGACTATTGGTTAAATAATGTATAGGCTTGAAATCTGCCTCATAAGTTATATTGATTCTATAATATGAATTTTTTCAGTGTAAAAACTTGATAAAAATAAGAAATTTTTTATTTTATTTGATCAAGTATATAAATTTTTTTTATTATAATTTAATTATAATGGACGTAATTGAGTTTTATTCTTCTGAAGATGAGTTCATATTTGACGTATTAGACATTTTACCAAAACAGAAAAGGTATAATCTATCGACTACGATATTTAGTAGTTTTATTATACAATTCAGTCATTGTGTCACATATAATAATTTTATAATTAATATATGAATAAATTGACAACTTGCTAACAAATTAGTTTCATTTGATAAATATTTTGTAATCAACTAGTGAACCACGGCCATAGATTATTTGTCTTTTTGGCTTTGTGGTAAAATTTATATTTTATACAATTATTTTGTGGAAAGCTTTTTAATATTTATCTATCATAAATATACTTTATGAAACCAATTAAACTTATAATGCCAATAAATAATCTTATCAATATAACGGTTTTAAGCGGAGTTCAGTTAATAATGTTGCTCTGTCAACAATATATATTATGTCATAGTATGGTAAAATGATTTCAACAACGTGCGTTTTCGTGACAATAATGATTGTTTAAAAAGGATTAAAAATAATTAAAATGTCAGTAAATGAGAAGACCCGTTTGATTTGAGATGGCCGGTCGATTGACCAAAAAATAAGTACCTATTTGACACTTACTACTGACAGATGTCATTTAGGAAGGATGTCTTTCGTTAATACGTATACTGAACAGTATAGTGATGTTCAAACTTCGGATTATGGCTAACTTTTAGATTAAAAGATATAAGTTTAATATTTTCTATTACATGTTATATGTAATGTAATGTACATGCTAATGACCAAAATCAGTGATTACTAACCAGTTACCTATATTCTATCGTTTATGCACGGTTTAATTTTTTCGGGAATAAACCATAATAACATATCCGCAATGGCAATATTATATTAATATCAATTTTTCATTGAAGGAATGATGTTATTAAATACATATTTTGAGAACTTTATTGTTAATATACCATCATAAATTAAATANATTACACGTTACATGTAATGTAATGTACATGTTAATGACCAAAATCAGTGATTACTAACCAGTAACCTATATTATATCGTTTATGCACGGTTTAAGTTTTTCAGGAATAAACCATGATAGCGTATCCGTAATGGCAATATTTTATTAATATCAATTTTTCATCGAAAAAATGATTTTAAATACATATTTTGAGAACTTTATTGTTAATATACCATCATAAATTAAATACTTATAGATTATTCTGAACAAATTATTCCTA